TGGGTGAGGGGAAAAAGGGGTCAATGGGGAAAAGAGAATGCCTTCTGTAATACTTTCAGCAATAAAGATAAATTTCAAAATATCACTATGCCACACAACACAATGCGTAAAAATACTACCTATTAGAATGGCACATCCTAACAATATGCAGACTGAGACGTCAAAATAATCAAACTTTCTTTTAGAAAGAAAATGAAATCCTTTCCTAATTTAGAGCTTTTTTGTTTAGAAAACCTTCGTTCCATGTATAACATCTACCTGGGCTTGAATCAAGGCAATGCACACATCAGAAACAGCTCCTCTGGCTATGGCCCTTTTCCTTGTGCTAACATCTCAACCCACTTGCTGAGCCAAATTTCTTAAGTCCATATAAACAACTTAAAATTCAAAACATAAGAAAATGATAAAAGACATGTGCAATACTGTCTAATCTTTTAAAATGCTGGTAAGAACTATATCTGATAAAAATGTACACAAATTTCACAACATAAAACTTTGATCACCTTTATATCTTATAGCCTAAGATTTTCATCAGTGGCTAATTTCCTTCTAGCACTAGATGAAAATTCCAAAGTTGGCCTACAAATTCGTAACTGAAACCTTATTTTATTTTATATTTTTTTGTTAATCCTCACCCAAGGATATTTTTTCAATTGATTTTTNCCTACAAATTCGTAACTGAAACCTTATTTTATTTTATATTTTTTTGTTAATCCTCACCCAAGGATATTTTTTCAATTGATTTTTAAAGAGAGTGGAAGGGAGGGAGCGTGGAGATAGAGAGAGAGAGAGAGAGAGGGAGAGAAACATAATTGGGTGCCACCCGACCGGGATATTGAACTTGCAACCCAGGTATGTGCCCTTGACCAAGACTCGAACCTGTGACCCTTCGGTGCTCAGGCTGATGCTCTAACCACTGAACAACACCGGCCAGGACTGAAATCTTATTTTAGGAGAAACATGTTGAATGGGGAGAATTATAGAAGTCAGCTGAGCACTCGGCTCTTGAAACTTCCAAGTTTTGGGAGGCTTCAGGTTAGAAGCAAAGAAAACTCCAAGCCACTGGCATCTCAAGTGGCTGACTACATGCTCTTCACATACCTGGAGTAAGAGATTGGTTCTGCAGGAAAAAGCCAGGCTGCTGGGGCTGACCCATGAGGTTGTAGCCCCACAAGGCAGGCTGTGGGTGGTGCATCATCTGGGAGGAAATGGGTGAGTAATTAGGAGGCACTCGGTACGTGTTGCTCTGTGGATACTCCTTCAACATAAAGTTAAAACAAAAAGTTACTTAACTCCACACACCAGACAGGAAATGAATGTAAATTCTTCATATCACATTATTTGAGATAACTCCTATTCCAGTATATAGGGCTATTTTTATAACAGGGAAGATGGGAGGCAGGAGTCTCAATACATTCTCCACAAAACAACTATTTAAATTAAAACTTTTCCTTGATTTAAGAAGTACTTGGCTACAGTGGAGATGGAAGAAAACATCTTCTCTAAACTTTGTTTTAAAATACTAAGAGCACATTTAAAATACTGACATCGACCACCAACCACAGCTGAAAGAGCATCTTTAGTTGCAAAGTCATTTCATCTGAGAAGGCCTTGCTGCTGCCTGGGGCAGGACCTTCCTGCAGAGGCCCACAATACTGCAGAACCAGTCCCGGACAGGATCTTACTTCCAGCTCTCAGGCCCCTATGCTGTAGGAGTGGACTCCACCCCTATCCTGCAAACACAGCCGCCCCCACACCCCTCGCCTCCTGCTCAGGGCTTCCTCTTCCTTCCTCACAGCAGCTACAAGTCTCCAAGGATCACAACTGAATGTCTCAATTCCCCCAATCTAGCCCTAGAGGATGAAGGAAAAATAGAATCTCAGAAAAATAAAACCTGCACTCCACCCGGCGGGAAGAGGCAGCCTTAGCAGTAGCGTGGGAGTAGGAGGCATGACCAGGACTCACTTGGGGAATGACATGAGTTTTAGGTCTTTTGCACCTGAAAAGAACAGAAATCCATCCGTGTGGCTGGACAGGTGCGGAGACCCAGATTTCAGGGAGTGGCAGCCTGCACCTTACTAAGCACCCCACTAAGCACCCCTTTCAAGACAAAGGAATACTGTCAGGAAGACTATATGAAAAGATGGCACTGACACTCAAGTGACAGCCAAAAGTGATGGTGATCATTTCTAGAATAATATTAATCTCCAAGCTGTGAGACAGATAAAGATATGTTTTGGCTCTGACACAGGTGAACAGTAAACAATCACGATGTCTCAACACTGAATTGTGGGTATTCCTCCACTGCACAGCAAGAACATCCCTGAATTTCACAGGAAAATGTCTCAAATTGTCTCTAAGTATTTTCCAGGTGAGGTTAAATGGAAAGATAGTTTATAGATTAATTCTTTAAGTTCTATAAAATTATTTTAAATTATCATCTTTTAGATTTCTGTTGTTTTCAAGAAAATGTTGCTATAGGTAGGAAGTCTAGTGGGCAAACAAGAAGTGAAGCTGTATCATGTTCATGTTCTCTTTCATAAAGCCTGAAACTACGGTAAAGGAAACACACGGAAGGAAGTGGAACGGTGAAATAGGAGATCTCAGAAACAGCCCATTCAACAGATTAGATGAAGATTTATCTAGGGAAAAGCAAATAGTGTTTTTTTTTATTTTAATATACTACAGATATCAACTGCCCAAAATACAATAACTATTTCAGACACGGTTTATAATAAAAATATGTAAGAGGATGAAATTTTATAGGTCTGAAAATTTCAAGTTTCAAATCTGAGAAGTTAGGAGGCACTGAAATATTAAGTATCATTCACAATGGAAACCTAAAATGAAAGTCATGAAGGGCAGGGGAAGAAAAATCAAAAGCCATCATTCTGATTCTGTTCATTACGATGGTGCCTCGTTAGGATAATTCTTACAAAGGGGCTTCTACTTCTTTTAGCAATGTTTCTAGGAATGCAGCTTGGACACTAGTAAGTCTACCAAATGCTCCGGAGCCAAAGGCCCCTCTACTTCCCGCACTCACGTCGGCTCTTGAGCTTGATTTTGTCTTGCGCTTCCTGCCCTTTGTTTTCTTCTCTTCATCGGTCACAGTTTTTCCCTGATCTGACAGCTCGGCTGACTTCCTCTCTGGTTCCTGAGAAATGGGAGATGTGGGCTCTTCCTCTTCCTCCTCGGGAGGCAGGGGCAGTGGCTCGAGGTAGTAACTTCGGGGCTTGGGCATGGGGTGCGTGTGGTACAAAAGGAGGTGGTGCTGCTCTTCATACTTGATCACCTTCCGGTCCATCCGGACTGTCCCGAACCAGGCCCAGGACAGGGGAGCTGGGTTCTTCTGACCCTCAAACAAATCCCACGGGGACACCTTCTGCTTTGTAGAGACCTGGAGACCCTGGGGGAAAATAATGCTCTGTGACCACACGCTCAGATCTTTTCCTGACGAGAGGCCAGGCTAGCTTAGGGCATGGACTCAGAGAACATTCTGGCTAGTACGGGCCTTGGAGAGAGCCTCAGCCTAGAGCAGACAGGCTAAGTAACCAGCCCAGGGCCACACAGCTAGAGCACTGGAGGGCGGCGGCTGAACCCAGAGCCCAACGTTCAGTTCTCTGTCCCTTATACCACTGAGGCTCTGTCCAGGCTGTAACACCAGACAGTCCAGTGCAGCTTACTGTAAAATGGCATTTTTTCATTTAGTTTCCTTTTGTTAGCAAAAAATAATTTCCAAGGACTGCTGCAAAGTTGATCTTACTGTACTAAATTACAATCAGTTATAAACCTTTGGAATCTATTTATTGATTTTAGGACAAAACAAAACTTAACAATCAAGTTACATTCAGCCTCTAATTGGGCTCAAATGAACTTCAGTCCAAACATGTACAGACTTGATTCAATACGGGCACCTTTCATGTACTTAATAAGCCATTCTCTGAAGAGTTGTCATATTATTACAGAATTAACTTGTAACAACAGGTAGAAACAAAGTCCTTCAATTCAAGTTTATTTCTATTGAGTTCAGAGGAGAAAATGTTATTCTGTTTTTGAAAATAAGTAGTTTATTTTTAACATTAATTGGTTATGTCCTTTGGTACTTTCCCTGGCATAGCAATCTGAAGATACTTTTCTTCAATATGACCCCAAAAATAATATTCAGGTATCCCATTAGCCATGGATGTTCCTGTTCTTTCCTACACACTCTTCCATCATCCAGCACCAAGGCTCAGTACCATCTGCATACTGACTTGAGATTGGACTTCTCTCCTGGGTGCCCAGACCAAATCTCCAGATGGCTTCTACATGTCTCACCACTAGAGAGCCCACCAGCACTGCAAACTCACCTTGCCCATGATTCTAGCTCTTTCTCTCCACAGTGCACTTATATGGTAAGTACTCAAGGCACTCCGAGTTACTGCAGCACTGCAGTTCTCCTGTGAGCCACTTTTCTTCAGGTCTCTGCATAAATTCTTCCTTTTGTCTGCACCACACTGTTCCCTACCTCCCAGCTAACTCTTAACCCTTCGAAATGACTCAAGTGCCAGTTTTCCTGGGGATATCGCTCCAACTACCTTCTTCTTATCTGAGAGTGATGACTCCTTCTCAGGGTCCCCAACACTCTGCAGCATGACACACACACCTCCCCACACTGTAATTGTCTATCTACTTCCACAGGGTAGGAGCTTTGCCTCTCACCTCTGTCATTTTGAAAATCTGTGGTTGCTCACATTCACTGAAAGAATCATAGACCCCTCTTCTTGTATTATAGAAAACGTTGCTTAATATTTTATGTGAAATCAAGTGTTCATTAAATATTGCTTAATTGACCCCAAAATAAAGTACCATCATTTTAAATATTTTTTACTCAAAATAGTTTACTACATAAAGGCTTTCATGAACAAAATTTTCTTATCTAAATATATTACTTCCAACTCTTAAGTAAAATCAGACCTGATCTTTGCAATTTTTTTTACACTAAGCTTTTTAGTTTTCTGTTGTTGAATTTAAGAAATTCACTTAAATTCAAGTACAGTTTTAAATACAGATCTTGAAAGATCTGACTTATTTTATGATAGTGCTAATAACCATTCCACTTAAATAATAAAAATATGTTTTTAAAAAGCAGGAAACTGTAAAATTAAGATGTTTTATATGCTTTACAGGAAGACGAGATGTATTTTGTTTTTGTAAGTTTATGTAGTTATATAATGAGAAACAAACATTTACTCTTGCCTGTTTTTTGTCTATAGAGTCGAATCCAGCAATTTTGTTTCCCTTTGTGTCAATCAATGAACCCATAGGTTCACACGTGATGACATCACATGTCTGTTTTGGCAAAGGTAGCAGTTGTCGAACTTTGTCAATACTTTCTGACCGCTTGTCTCCTAGTTCTTTCTAAACAAAAAAAACAAAAAACCAGAAAAGAGAGAGGGGAAAAAGAGAAGTGGAACAGAAATTACAATGAAGGCAAAAGTTGGCCAGAAGGAAGTCCCCTTATGAAACATTTCCTTTCATACAGTTGGGATGTTCTTTCACTTGGAACATGGTCTAGGGTACAGCTCTCGATTAGAGTCCTGAGTATGTTTCATTTCTTCATTTTAAGTAGAAAATAGAACATACAGAAAGGCACCCTTGTTACACAACAAACATCAGTGCTGAAATGACAAAATCCAGGGCGGCCTCTGTGATGAGAAGGCAGGAGCTGCAGCACGGAGCACACTCTCGAACACGGGGTCACGCCACAAGGTAACCACTGGTTATTTTATTTTAAGCTCATCAGATATATTGATTTTTCTCCTATGCTGTTTATTTACAGTTTATTTAAAGACTGTGTTAGTGGTTAGTAAAGTGAATTGGATTTAGAACTATCAACACAAGTGATTATTTTTCAACTGCCTGTGCCAGTCGAACCATAAATTTATCCTAAATCTAATGCTGTCATTTTGGTTAGACATTTGGTAATGCATTTCTACAGTTCCTTAAAAAATTAAACATGTTTTATGAATGTAAATTTTTTTAAAAAGACAAATCTTCAAGCTATATGCTTATTACTTTGGGGTTCTAGTGAGCTAAAGTAAAGCAAATAGCAAAATAATCACATTAAATTAACTTGAGTGCAACAAATAACACTTAATTTAATGAATAGTAAATTAGATAAAATGTACTAAATAACAAACCCATAAACAACCCAAGCTCATAATGTAAGCAAGTCACAGACTTACCTTCAGTTTCTTCACTAAGTTCATGTATGCACGCTTGTTCTCTTCAGATCCCCCTGGGGATGCACCGGGCAGGTCAGAGGCTAAGGTTCCATTGATTAAAACGCCCAGCATGTCAAGAACTGTTGTGAATAATTCACTAAGAGGGGGCAGAAATAATTATTTTCACCTTAAAGCAAAACCAAGATACTCTTAACTAGGTGGGAATCTTTATTTAGGGTACAGAATTTTTAATGGCACCTAAGAGAGTAAGATGCGGCAGAATCTGTTGTCAGCACATCACAGCCTCGGCCATGTGCGTGCGGCAAAGGAAAGGGGAGCGGTACTTGTTAGTGCGTACTTGTTAGTGTGCATGTCCACGGTCCCGGACGTGATGATCTGCAGGAGGAGGAGGGCCCAGTCCGCGGTCCACTGCGTGCTCCTCTGCACCGTGTCAAACATTCCTCCCACCTGGCACATAGATGAAACAATAAAAAATCTGCACTGTGTCTAAGAGAGAAGTAGCAACCCATCACTTTATGTAGCCAAATTTTGATTATTTAAAAAGTCCTCATAAAAAGAAGGGAGTTCCCGAGTGGGACACCTCATCAACAGGAATTACAATTGACCCTTGACAGCTGACCCCTGAAAATGCAGAGGGTTAGGGGTAATGACCTTCCTCTGAGAAAATCTACATATAACTACTACTACTATAAACCAACATAACTGGCTTTTTTTCATTCCTAAACTTTCAGAATACCCTGTTTTATGATGTAATTTTAGTCGAATTAAATCTAAATAGGTCAAAATCACATAATCCGATGATCTAGGGCTTTGTGTTGTCAATTACTATTGAATCTAAGCCCGATGCTGTAATAACATTTGGAAACATCCAGTAACACAGAAGGAGTGATGAGCGGGAGGCTTGGCCCATGTCTATCCTCCATGTGTGGGAATTAAGTTGAAATCAACTGTCGGATATGAGCTAAGCCATCCTCCAGAGTGGCCGTCATCTGGCCTGTCCAGTGGAAAAGGAAAATGCAAAAGAATGTTCACTGTGTGAGAATTTTAAATTTCTGTAAACCTTCCATGTACAATTTGTTTTTATGACCAATCTGATGAAAAGTTTGATGAAATTTTGAGTTAAATGTCATTTTAATATGTGTTTTAAGCAAGTGTAGTAAAAGCTAACATCCATCTCAAAATAATAGTTCTGTAAGTCCCCCTCTGAGCACATACCCAAAAGGAGAGAGACCCTGGGGCGGGGGTTGCAGGCGGCCAAGTGATGCCTAAAATACCTCCTGCCGTCCAGAAGTCAGGCCAGACAGGAAGGGCAGCAGCCAGGAAAACAGAAGGTTAGAGAGACAGGGAAGTAGTCACAGAGAGCACACAGCAGAATGCCTTACCTCGCAGGGAAGTGTGACCACAGAAGTGGGCAGCTATCAGATCAGTGTAGTGCAGGCGAAGATGAGGAGCGCTTACCAAGTTCAGGCGGAGCTGCAGGGCCTCGTGCATCATCTGCCGGGCTCTCATGTCATCCTGGTATCGCTCTTCTCTCCAGTTGCTCAGGATCTAAATCAGACAATCCACTTAAAACACAAAACCCAGAACTTGTTTCCCCTGTTAAATTGAAATTTTTCATATTTTAAGTTAAACCGAGCTCTTTACTGACAGTCAAAAATAACTTTCTAGTTTAACAAATAAAACTTTCCTCCCTTTCCACCCAGCAGACAGAAATCTGGCTACTTCTTTGTCATTATCTCTCCAGGTGGGGGAATAAAAATCTTCTCTAATTACTTATCCAGTGACAAGTCTTAGAAAACATTTTAGAGGACCATCAAGTGAAACATTAACAAAAATAAAGATTACTTCTTAAACACAGCTGACTCTTAACCAACATGGTTTGACTGTGTAGGTCCACTTTTATGTGCATTTTTCAATAAATATACAGTCAGCTCTCTGTGGACCTGGGTTTCACTTCTGAGAAACAGTTTTTTGATCTGAGGTTGGAAATTTGTGGATTGTAAAGGGCCTACTATAACATATTGCGCTTTGCCATTTTATACAGGGGATTGAGCATCCCTGGATTCTGGTTTCTGAGGGAAGTCCTGGAACCAATCCCCTGTGGATACCAAGGGGGATGACTCAAGTTTTGGGGAGGCAAAAGTTATACAGATTTTTTAATTCCTGGGGGTTGGTGTCCCTAAACCCCATGCTATTCAAGGGTCAACTGTACATCATTTCGTTGGTCTATAAATACACATATTGGACAGATAAAGTCACATTTTATATCAGGTGTTTCTAGGTACATGCTGTGAACCCTAGCAAGTGCATTATTTTGGTGTCCTACTGAAGTGGAATCTTGCTATTTTATAGACTTGTCTTCCTTGATAAAGATAATATGTACTATTTTGAAAATGTGACAATGTGGATATCAGTCAAGTGGCATATGCATTTATAACATGAATGCTTCTTTACCGATCCAGACTAATGCTGGAGAAAGGGAGGTTTTCTTAGGAAAGGCAAAGCACAAGTGGGCTACACCCCAGAATCAGATGGCATGAGCAAAAACAACCTCCCCCAAATCCTACATGGCCATGCTCTGAAATATGTGTTCCCTAATGAGAATCATCTTTAAAAAGTTGAAATGAGTTACATGCAGAGTAAGCCAGGCCCAGAAGATGACCTGGAAGTATCCTGTGTGGCAAGAGAACACTTCCCACAGCTCATCAAAAGATATGGCCCTTCCCCAAGGCTGAGTTAAGGGTGCAAGATGGTCTACAAAGCACACAAACTGCCATGGAGCTTACATTCAAGGAGCAAGATGAATAACGCTAAGTCAGGTGTAACAAGTGGAATGAACCTGGGCAAGGGGATAGAGGTTGACTGTAGTTCTATTTTTAGAGAGTGATCAGGGAGGGCCTCCTGAAGGAGGTGACGTCAGAGCAGAGACCTGATGAAGTGAGGGAGACAACCATGTGCACATCTGAGAGGAAAGCCTTCCAGGAGAAGGGACGAAAAGATGCAATGGCACTGCAATGAGAATTTGCATGGCAAGTTCAAGGACCAGCAACATGGCCACTGTGAAAAGAGTGGAATGAGCAAGGCCATGGCTGTAGGAAACAAAGTAGAAGTGAGAGCCAGTGCCAAATCACATAAGGCCTTATAAGCCCAGACTTTGAAGTTTTATTCTAAGTATAGTAAGAATGATTGCAGCACTTGGGACACCAAAGAAGTATGTAATTTGCATTTAAAAAGGATCACTCTGGTCCCAGACATGCACTGAAGGACAAAGTCTGGCAGATTGGAGAATGAACTTGTGCTGTTGAGTTAAAAAAAAATAAAAATAAAAATAAAAAGGATCACTCTGGCTGCTGTGTAGAGAATAGATTTCTCATATCCAAAAGGTAGGAGACAAGGGGAGAACCAAGTGTCCTTGTTCATGTTCATCTAGATTTCAGTACCACCCTAGGGAACGACATGGTGTCATAGGACCACAGCACCACCGGAGGGCACCATTAGGCTCTGCAGCAGGATTAAACAGCCCACTTGACCAATCTACCCACTCTGCTTAATTCCACAATCTCCATCTCTAATGTGGTCACTAGTTTCCTTGTGGTTCAGACAGTGCAAGTGCCAGGAGAACTGTGGTTGCTGGAAAGGCAAAGTTCGTATTCTTTATCAGTGAACCAAAATGCCTTCTGATTTATAAATGAGTACCTTGTGCACTTAACCAGCATCAGCTTAGCCCTGGCAGTAAAATAAAACTGAGTTTCTGTACCTACAGGGCACAGACAGAGACCCTGCCTGATAGATGGAAGCCCAGTTAGGACCCGGATCGCTACTGCTCTTTCTCACTGCCATGCTGATAGCAACAGGGACTGCTCCAGGACCCCTCCCCCTTGAGGCAGGGTCAAGAGCGGAGCAGACATACCCAAGTTATGTGCAATACACAAAATGTTACTTTTATGGTCTGTAAACATTAATACAAAATTGTTAATCTTGTGTTGACTAGAACGCCAGGTAGGAGACGGGCATGGATTATGCCTCCCTGCATCTAATTAAATAATGGTATGTCCTTATTGGTTTAACCTCAGCATTTGAAAGGAAAACAAATTAATGCCATTAGAAAACTACTTGTCTGGCTTAATACTCTACTTTACCTGATTAACTTGATTCTGGAGAGATGTTAGGAGACCTTCTCGTTGTTCATCTTGTCCCTTAAGGCAGGTAAGGACCAGTGAGAGGAATGGTTGTTGACTCAAAAGAGACATACTGCAAAGGAAGTAACAACAGCAGATCTAGTTAGAAAGAATGGATTACTTCCTCTGCAACACTGATTTCCTGCCTTTGGGTTATTGACTCTTACTTATTTATCTATTAGAAAATGGAGAGTTTAGTCATATCTGTACTGATTATATTAAAAGCCACTGTAATGCTTCTAAATAATTTAATACTGAAGGCATTCCCCAAACCAGCATAAATTCATACTGCAAATGAGTATGTAAGGGGGGTGTAGGGAGAAGAGGGTTTGTATTTGACGTCAGTTAGCTGTATATTTTAAAGTATATATCAAGAAATATCACTTTATACACAGAATAAAATTATAAATTTTAAAAGCTCTCTCACACAAAACTCTTACGTTAGTATTCAGGCCTATCCAATTGCTGTGCTTGTTTTATTTTCAGCTCATTTCTCGAGAACTAACACTGGTAGAGCTGAGATCAGCATCTGGTCTGAGGACCTAGGAACAGATGCTTGCTTGTGACCTGTGGAGCACAGTCCCCCCACACCCCCGCAGGCTCGGCTTGCAAAGGGGTTTTAAGACATTTGGTAAAAATTTTATTAAAATTTCTTCAATTATTAGAGACCAACTAACAAGTCATACTGATAAACTGCTACAGTAGAAAGAAAAATTTCTTAAAATGAGATCAAGGCCAAAATATTTCAATCTGCTTCATCTTACACCAGCAGAAATGAGAGAGACACTGACTTGGGAAGGCCCATTCTAAGACTTTGTACTACCCTTTGTCCTCTCTGTGGCAGGCAAGGCAATGTACAATCACCCATTAGCTAATAAACTTTGAGAATTAAGTTGAGGCATCTGGGCCCTAGCCAGTGTGTCTCAGTGGTTAGAGTCAGTCTGCGCACCGAAGAGTCGCAGGTTTGCTTCCCAGTCAAAGGCACGTACCTGGGTTGCAGGTTTGATGCCCGGCCCAGTAGGTGTGTGTGGGAGGCAACCAATCAATGTGTCTTTCTCACATTGATGTTTTTCTCTCTCTCTCTGTCTCTCCCCCTCCCTTCCATTCTCTATAAATCAATGGAAAAATACCCTCAGGTGAGGGTTAACAAAAATTTTTTTTTAAAAATTGAGTCACCTAGTTGGTTAACTGATGCCAGCAAACATGATGAAACAAACAGGTAACAAAATACAAGCAAAGTCAAGACTCTACATACTTTAGTTAAGAGTGCAGGCTCAGAAGTCAGACCACCTAGTTTAAACTCCAGCTTTCTAACTCCTTAGCTGTGTGTCTTCAAGAAATTTACTAACCTTTCAGTGCATCAGTTTCTTCATCTGTAAAAAGGGTATAATGAGAGCACCTACCAATGATTGCAGTGAGATTTTAAAAGTTCAAGTACGTATAAAATAAATTTTATATAGGGGGCTGGCATTTCGTAAGAGCTCAATCAGTGGCACCTACCATAATATTATTAATTAGGGGAAAAGAAACCAGCATGTTCAAAATGTTTATTTTATTTTTTCTTTATTTTTATTTTTTTCATCACCATTTATCCCTCATGTACCCTCTCCCACCTCTCCCCACCCTCCACACCAGCCCCCACAATCAAGCAGAAGAAATGACTATTATTTCCCTTTATCCTACGGTGCTAAATTCACCACGTTTTCACATTTGAGTGTGACTTCCCCAGTAACATAGTCAGTTTTCAAATACAATCATTTGAAATTGTTACTAAGGCACAAAATAAATTAAGAAAACATTAAAATTCATGGTTTATAAGTTTTACTATCTAATCTAGAAAAGAGCTTTAAATGCTAAAAATGTCAGTAACCATTTCAGGGTCCAACAAGACAGAACTAGAAATAATTCTCTGTATTTTAAACATAAAAACCTAAGTAATAAAATAATGAAAAGTAATTAAAAGTAGAAAATGGACCAAGTGGCTCTCCAGACCGGATTCGGTGTGAAGTGGGCCTAAGAAGCCAGGATTTTAATAGCACAGCAGTGATTTGGGTGGGAGGTGGAACTGAAAACTCCTGCAGTAAACAGTACTGCCTAGAACTTTTTAGGAACAGCACCTTGCCTAACAAAACATTTTCAATTCCATTTAAGAACGCAATTTCAGTGGGCTCGGGGGGGCAGCAAGCATGTATATTTGCAGACAGCCATGTGTCCTTCTTTACAGTCTCACATAGAGACACACTTCTGGCCGTACCTTTTCTGCTTTTGTCTGTCTCTTTCCTTTTTTGAAGACGAGCCCAGGTGCTGTCCCTTCTCCAGCTCCTCCCCAGCAGCTTTCAATACTCTTCCTTGCACGGAGGTCGGCAGCCTGGCAATGAGGGGGGCCACCAGCCACACCCCCCTGCGTTCAGAGGAGCTAAAATCAGAAACAGGCGTTACATCCAACGAGGCACCTTCTTCCCTGCTCTCATAGTTGTAACAGAAATTCCCACGTAAAGCTTTTATGAACAAGATAAAATGATTATTCCAAGTTTCCCTTTCATTCCTTGCTATCGTTCATCTTGCCAAATACCAGATATCTGCACACACTTCTCCATTCATGCTTACAGAAGGCAATAAAGACGGGGTTCTGGGAGGATACTATAAACTTTTAAAAAACCTATAGTTTTTCCATGACTGTGGCTCTCTGATTAGTAACAGTCCTTTTATCCAACAGTTTTCAGTCATGGTTAGGATAAGAAGTGTTCTGATTATGTTTAAGCACACTGAGAGCCAGTTTTTAAAGTTTTAGAATTCACCAGTTATACTTTACACCAAAACAATAAAACACAACTTAATCTGCCTTTCGTGATTATCATTTGTGCAAAACTGCCAATTAATAAAGAAGGCAGAAAAAGTGTTTCTTATGGAATGAACAGCACAGAACAGAGCAGCCTCAGGGGACACTAAAGAGATTAATCTGCCCAGAACGTCATCTGAGGTTCCAAGGAGTCTGGGCCCGGTTAACTTAGTATTTAGAACAGTAAGATATCATCCAGCCCATAGAATTACCGTTTAACATATTATTAAATAATGATAATTGACACAGTAATTACTTTCTTCACATTCCTGAAGCTCTATGAAAAAAGACTGGATTATGCAAATAAAAACACACTGTTACATGTGAAAAATTAACGAGACAATAGAACAACAGAAACAATACCTTAGAAATGTCTTTATTCCATTCTGCCTTGTGCTACCCGCATCTGCGCCTCCGACCCCACCTGGGTTGAAGAGCCCCACGCCGGGGCTGGAGGAGTTGTTGTTCACGTCAGCGGACTGCTGGAAAACCTCTATTGTCGCCTTTGCTATGTTGTCCAGTAAGTTGTTCATTTCAGCCACCGAACCAGAGCCCTGGTGGCAGACACAAGAAAGCTAGCACACATATGTTTTACCGTATCCTCAAACATCAACACATTTTTGCTTTTCATACAATTTTATAGACATACGTGCTCTTCAGATATACTCACAGGGTCCTTCAAGCACTGTTTAATCATTAACTGAAGCTCCAGCCAGGACTGCCTCAGTGTCCACTGCTCAAGATTCTGAGGAGAATGGAAATAACTAAGACATTAGGAACATTGAGCATGTGTTAAAACACAGTAACTCCTGGCAGTACTCCCTATCTCAAGAAAGAGCAGAATAGTTGCCCACAAGAAAGGGATCTGCAGGCACCCCCACAGCTCCTTCCCCGGAACCACACGCAGCCTCTCAGGATCCAGCTGCCATGGCTCGAACCGCACCTTGTGAGCATTTGGCATTATCTCAGTTTATTTTGTACATTTGTTACAAGATGTGTCCTAAGGTATCAGAAAGCCTAAGAGAGCTTGTAAGAGTGCTATGCTTAGCGTAAAACATTTCAGTGGTGGTAAATGAAAGAAAGGTGTGTGCATTCAATTTGGGGACTGGGAATGCTCAAAAATTTTTCCGTATAAATTCTACCATAAGTTAATGGTAATTGCTTCTTCCCTTTATACCACTGGGCTTACACAGGTTTCACAGGCACACTCGACTTTGGGGCAGTGAGTACATGGATCAGAAGGCTACCAAGTCTATAACGCATTTTTACTGTAAACACGAAGAAACCAAAATAAATAGCAACATTAAAATAAAGTGCCTCCCTCAGCTGGACATCAGAAGTACATAAGGTAAACGTGACTTCTGCCAAAATATATTTATCTAACCAACTCTATTCCAAAATGATGTCAATATTTTTTGAATAAGATATTTCATATAGTCCCTCCACAAAGTTTATCTTTCATGTAAATGCAGTACTGACATAAAATACCAATATTTATATAATTTGCAGTATCCATGTGTAGCTAACCAGCAATAAAGTGTGGCAATAACACAGAAAAGAAAATCGGGGGAATAAAAACCTGAATTCATTAAATTAGCTGAAAGATCTAGTTAGCAATGACAAAAGGAGACAATGATTTTGTTATAACTGCAAAGAATATGTCAAAAGACAGAAACATGACCTTTAAATTATCATCACTCACCTGAAGAATGCGCTTAATGTGCTGTCTCTGCAGGTTGTCCCCCTCAGTGCATTCTTTAATGCCGTGGGGATAACAGATGAGCTGCAATAGTTTCTGCGCTTGCACATTTGAAAGCACAGGGTCCAGTATGAGTTCCTTGTCTGTGCACAATCTTTCAGGCTCTTTTAAGCAATGTTCTCCTACCCATTCCTAAAAATAATGCAGCAGTTAGGCTGGTGGGCACAGGCTTTCTATATGCCTGTGCGATATGTACTAAGTTCACAGCACACAACGGGATACAAAGGAGAGAGGAATCTTCCAATTAATAAAATATACACACAAAATGGTGGCAAAAGTTTTAAAAACAAAATTTCTAGTATTTTTACTTCTTAAAAATACAAAGTGAAACCTTGGCAAAAGAAAAATTTTAAAAAACAGATATGCAAAAAAAGTAAAGGAAAGAAAAGGAATCTAAAGAGAGTAAGGAAAATACTGGTATGTGTTTTCAATTGGAAAATGGGTTCTTGCTCTAGGAACTGTTTTGTAATCAGTTTTTTTAACTTGCTATATAAGGGCAATGAGTCTATTTACAAGATGTCATTTTTATGAAATGCATTATACTATATTCTATTGAATAGAACACAGTATAATGTTAGAAAATTGTCTTCCTTTTTTATATTATTATAAATGTTACTATTATAAATAAATGTGCACATCTATTCTCTGTACAATTGTTTCCTTAGGGTAATTTCAGAGAGGTGCAACTGCTGGGTCAAGGAGTGTAGCAAAAATTTAAGGCTATTGATGCATATGGCTAACTGACCTCCAGAGAGTTTCTACCAATTTAAACTCCTATCACCTTTTCTTTATTATTTTTTCAAAGGATACTCTTATTTTAAATGAGATAAGACATTGTCAACTGTCCATGAACCCCATCTGAACCCAGGTCTGTTTCAAATGAAACCTGTTTCTCAACCACTACACCAGTGATTCAATGCTGGTTGTCCATTAAAATTACCTGAGGAGCTTGTTAAAATTTCAAAGCCCAGGCCCTATATCCAATCAATTAGGTCAATCTTAGGTAGTCAATCTTAGGGACCAGATATCAGTCATTTTTTAGGCCATCAAAAATTTTTTTAACGCCCCAGTAATTCCAATGTGCACTCACAGTTGGGAACCAATGTATAGCCCAACAAACTGTATAACTATTTAGCAAAATTTTACCATGGTTACAATACGCCTTATAAAAACATGACCCTGTCAACATTAGGAAAGTGCAAAAGAGTATATATGGGATGCCATAATTCTTTTAATAAGAAAGGAGAAAGTTAAAAATACATATATAAAGTTAAAACAGAAGATAATGAAACTGATCACCTAGGCCAGGGTGAGACAAAGGGTAGTAGGGATAAGGGAGAGAGGACACATCTCTGAGCACACCTTTTGCATAGTTGGCCTATGGAAACATGCTATTTTAAATTTGTTTCTGAATATAAACAGAAACAAATTAAATCAATTCTATTTCAAGTGAGAAACTTATCCACACTGAAGGAGAAAGTTCAAACGACTTTTTAACATAATACGGTAAACTCCTAGGGCAGAACTATGAACAAATCTTCGAATCCTTTTAGTAGCCTGTTTTTCCTAGTGGTATAGGTGTAGCAATTCTGAAGCTACTACAGGTATACTGCAGGATAAAGCAAATGAGTAACAGGTTAATGTTATTGGGAGTAGGGGTTCTTATTGTGGAAGAGACAATATTAATATGGAATGGGGAACACAAAGAACTTTGTGGGTTGGATTGGAATTAAAGATATCAATATGAACTCATAATTTACATCCACATTTATGTGTGAATTTCCCCCCCCTTAGCCCTGTCTGCTGAAAGGGCCTAGAAGCAATGAACGCACACAGTGCCCTGGTCTTGGTCTCTAAACACCATCCTCTGAGAACAGAACCAGGGATCTTCGCAGGAATGAGTAATTCCAGATCGGGGCAGAGGGAGTACAGAAGGGGCCAGAGGGTTAAACCTGGGGCTATTTGAACATGAATGTAACTGAGGACAGCAAATTATAATACATAGGAAAAATAATATAAATAAAGGAAAAAGGAAGTAAGGGCAGGCTCTTCCTCAGGGAAGAGTGCAAACTGATAACTGGGGAGCAGAGGGGCTGGGAGAAAAATCACCCTTCTGCAACCATCACAGTCAAGACTGGTTTGGGCAAGGATCAGAATGGATGCTCCATGGGAGGTGAGAGAATTCGATGAAAATATCTGCATTGTTTTAAAGTGTCTCTCCAAGGACAGACCGCTTATTAATTGCAAGGGAAAAAATAATTATCCAGAAGAGAAATCTTGACATCATACAATGGAGACATCTTGATAAAATTAACATCACCAAAGAGATGCAAATGGACAGCATGGGCCTTTGGATGTGATCACCTGAGAACACAACATTACTGCTGCAGTATCTTGGCCAGGAATACATAATCTGAAGCTAATCCACAAGAAACTTCAGACAAATCCACCATAGTTGGGACAACTGACAAAATTGGAATGTGGCCTATATGTGAGAAAAAATTACTGTACCGATACTAAATTTCCTTATTTTTGTTAACTGTATTTTGCTTATGTTAACAAACACTGAAGTATTAAAAAGTAAATAAGAATAATGTATGCCAACTACTCTCAAATGGTTCAGGAAAAAAAATGTTAAGTACATGCATCCATACTGACACACACAAATAGAATTAATAAAAGCAAATGTGGCAAGTGTAAAAAGTTAGTGAATTTGTATAAAGAATATACTAGAGTTCTTTATTATTACTGCAACTTTTCAGCAAATTTGGAACTATTTCAAAACAAAGTTAGCACGGGGAAAAAAGTACCATCTAGGTACAGGTTTTATATATAGTGGGATTCTCTCTCCAAAAGAAGTCACATATTCAAAGCTAAAGGCCAATTAAATCTGAAGATACCTGTTGACAGATAGTCCTCAGCACATATCTAGCATATTCCCTTAAGTTGGCAGTTTCGACGGAAATGCTTCTCCCACAGGACTTGGAGTTCTGTGAGGCCGTCCAGGCATCATCAGCATTGCTGTCGCGCCGCACCCCCCTCGTGGCGAAGTCGTCATTCTTTAAAGAGCTGACACTGTTATTGCCAATCTTGGCATCTCCTAAATAACAGAATCACAAAACCAAAATCACACAAGTTCAAAATACTGCCAAATATCTGAGAAGTAAATGAGGCACGCTCTCGGGGACGTAAAGGGCGTGAGTGGTGTCATGGTCGCAGAGCTGTGCAGCAATGAAGAGAATGGAGCAGCAGAATGGAGCGAGAACCCAGGAAGTTTCATCAGATATGGAAAAAGGCAAGTTCAAGACTCAATCCTCATTTTGTTTACAGAATTAAGTATGCTCTCACCAAACTTGGAAAGGCCATCATGAATCACACTTAATAATCACAGAACATTGATTTCACCAATATTTTAAGCATCAATGTATTCAAATTCATTTGACTTATAGACAAGGAAAAAATGGGTTACTCACCCTTCTAGGTGTCCCTTTTCCATTTCTTCTCTTACAATGACTTATTTTCTATCCATAGGTCAAGAGAAAAGTTTTGCCTTAGCCCACCTTACTATCAACTTCTTGACAAGAGAGATTTATTTCCCTGGGAATGGAAAAGGGCAATGCATACTAAGGAAGCCCTGGAAAATAGGGCATTCATTGAATAACCCATGCCTTTCACTTCCCTTTCTGTAAACACCAAGTTAGAAAACTTCATCTCATCAATCTCTAATACACTCAACTAAAATAAAACTAAGGAAAGTGTTTTCCTTATTAAAAAAAAAAAAAGTTCTGGGGGAAAAACTGAGCAGAATGGCTGAATATTTAGAAATAAGAAATCTTCTCTAGCTCTGAAAGACAAATAATTCATATTTTGAAGGTGAAAGAATAAAATAACTTGGCAATCAAATAGCCAAGTGACAGCAGAGCCTCCAAACGTTTGCCGGTTTACCCAGAGGTTCACAGGCCTTGAGAGAATCTCTTGGAACCAACCAATGAGTTCAAAGAAGGCCTTTGGAGTGGAACCAAGGCCAGGTCAGTGCAGAAAGTCTTATAACCCACAGATCAACCAAGAAAAAGTTTTGACTCTGATAAAAAAGTATAAAAAATCAGAATTGCTTACTGAATATTTACTTATAAAATCATTAAAAGGAGGGGAGGAATAAAAATACATTTCAACTCATCAATATCTTACTATATATTATCAAACATTTCTCATTATAATATACAGACAAAACTACCAATTTCACTTCACCCACAGGAATTTATATTTACTTCAACAGAGTTCTTTGGGAGCTGAAAGAAAGACCTCATTCTACATGTATCAAAATTTGAGCCTGCTTTCTCCAGCCTTTGGTGATATGAACAATGATTTTTACACCTTTAGTTAAATTATTATTGAAATTAAAAACCAAATTCTATAAAACAGTTCTATCATCCTAACTCAAAAAAGGTTCTGATGGACAGGACTTGAGAGAACATTGGTTAGGACATGTGAGATGAACAAGTTAAAACTGCAAAAACAAAGAAACAAACATCTCTGCTAGTCCCAGACCAGGAGATCCTCAAATCAGTTTAGATGTTAGGATGACTTGGAGGCTGCACCAGAACCTTCTGCAATCATATAGACAATAGGACAGAGTGCTCAGTGATGGCCTGGTCAAGGCTCTGCTGACATTCAACCAGTCTAATCCTGACTTTCAGACCTGAAGAACCTTAGAAAGCTGTAGAATCTTCCAAGAACTGAAGCCAATTAAAAAGGTCAAGGAGAGGCAATCAAAGAAAACTGAATTGGTGACTACACATGGATAGTAAACTTCGGTTATTTAGATATTTAAAGATATTTACAATTGGCCAGTTTTACTTGGGATCAAACTAGTCCTTCAAATCAAAGGGACAATGTCTAATTGCACTCATCTTGGTTTCTGCTATTAAAGTGTGTATCACGCATGCAGCCCACACTTCCAACATTAGTTTATGGAAAATCTTCTGTTTAGTTTCTCCTATTAACATTAGCTGCCACAGTAAAAAAGTGAGTCCCTGACTTCACGGTCTCTACCTTTATTTATTAAACAGAACTGACCAGCCATCTTTCCTTTCAAATATCATCAGAGCACAGGAATTTTACTTATTGAGATCACCATTTAATGTTGGCTGTATAATCCTACAAGTTCCTGAGCTCAGAGGAAGGCTGTGGCCCTCCATGAGACTTGACCTTTTTCTTTTTACTACAAAATTCATGGGCATAATGAAAACATTACATATATGTACTTATATGTGTGTGTGTAGATATTTTTAGATGAACTTTTAATAATTTGTTCTATAAAAACCCTGTTTTCCTTCCCTGTCATCACCAAATAACACTTGCCAAGCAGGAGTATAAGGCGGTAGGGTTTAATCCTCAAACATGTTCTTTAAGACTCACCAAAGACCATTCCTAGCATGCAGTAATTTCTGTTCTAATCAAAAGGGGCTCCTTCAGAACATAAGAGATAACTTCTGTTTAGTGAAGGCCAAAAGAGGGTACCCAAAGTTGGAATTAGTGTGAATTTAAGACTTCCCATTCTCCTGACTTATAGAATAAAAATGTTTTAAGGTATTACATTACAAATGAACAGAAAAGGCAGTCCTACTACTCCAGGAGGACATATATACCAATAATAATATAAAAGACATCTTGAGCATTATGAGTTATATGAAAAAAAAATTGTGATATCTAATACTGATTTATCAGTATTATCAACCTCAATGCAATTACCACCCGACTGATGAAAAAACTAAGGTACAAGGATATGAACTTGTTCAGGGTCACAATGGAAGCAGAAACACTAAAATTAAAACCCAGGATTTCTGGCCCTGGCTGGTTTTGCTCAGTGGTTAAAGCGTCAGCCTGAGGACTGAAGGGTCTTGGGTTCAATTCCGGTCAAGGGCACGTACCTCGGTTGCCGGCTCAATCCCTGGCCCCAGTTGGGGCACATGTGGGAGGCAGCCAATCAATGCATCTCTCTCACATCGATGTTTCTCTCTCTCCCCCCTTCCACTCTCTCTGAAAAGCAATGGGGAAAAAGCCTAGGGTAAGGATTAAAAAAACCCCAAGGTTTTCTGGTATTTTACTCCCAGAATATAATATTACATTTAAACCTTTGGTTAGGTCACCAAGTCTCTGTGTCCATCACAAAGTGTGACTTATGCCAACAAATGAAGGCAACACAACCCAGGAGATCTGAGGATCTATCTTACATCAGAATAAGGTAACATGCAGTTAAAACACCACCAAAGAGAGCATTATATTTAAATTCCACCAGCCTTGTAGGTAAGGGACAGGCTTCTTGGAGCACAATTAAACGTGGACTTGGGAAAAGCCAGCTAATGTTTTTCAGGAGAACAACAACAATAAACGACAACATTTCTGCTAAAATTAAAGAGTGAAACTTCTGGTGATGCACCCAAGCTCAGTGCCAGGACAGTCTTACCAAGCATCATAATTGCTTTTAAAACAGCAAACACTGCTCCCACTTCGATGCTGTTGTGAGCAGCAGCTAAGAGGTGTCTATCACAAGATGATCTGATTCCAGGGAAAGGTTTGCCTATGAGAACAACAACAAACCTTTAATCGTCTCATCACCATCATTAACAGTGTTTTGTAACCATTTACAGTCAGCAGGGCTTTTCACTGTTAGACTGTGGGCGCTTAATTGCCATTAGCCAGCTCTAATTGATGCTCATGGCTTCAGTGAGAAACACTGCCAGCACTCCTTACTTAACCTTTTCTCTTTAACTATTAAAATAATGCCTTTGTTCCCTAGAGAGATGTGTCAAAAACATGAGTAGGATTTTCATCGTCTTATGCTGATGGTCACATACACCTCCCCTACAACATGAAATGATCTTTAGGAACAGACTGCACTAACATCCCTAGATTTCTTACCTCATTCCGTTTACCTTAGTAAAAGCGTAAACGAATCGCTGCCCTGAGCTGCTACACTGTGGTTCACGACCCACACGCACAGTAAGCTAGAGGACCATGCTGCCCACCAGCACGGCTGGCCTAAGAGCAAAAGTATTTTTATTGTTTATTCACTCTGGATCTGAGTTTCTCAACCCATCCTGATGTTACATAAACGAAAGGTGCTGACAGCGCTCCCAACGGCATCATTGCACCCCTTCACCCTGGAGCAGGCCCACCGAAGCCAGCGAGGAAATTACAGAGTGGACAGCTTGCTTGGTCGCGGGAGAACCTAGCGCCACAAATGGAAACACAGGCAGCCGTCTGGGGCTGTCAGCTCACCGGTTGCCTGAGGTAACAAGCAGGCCTGCGGAGCTCGGAAGAGGTGGAGCAGGAGGCGGCAGGTCATCCTCGCCCCAGGCTCGGCGTCCGCGTCTCCACAGGCTGGGAAAGAAGGGTTTTCAAAGCAAGTTTTCTCACATGTTCAAGAACACGTCTTCAGGTTTTCTATTAAGCTAAACTTTCTGGAATAATTTGAATAAATGCTCTTATGGTAAAAAGTCAGGCACCAGCTCTGCTTTTCTGAGAAGACCGAATGCATGGGCTTCCTCAGAAACAGTACCAGCATCCATGGGCTCACATGACATCATGTAGAACAAGCTGCACAATCTGCCATCTTTCCCGGAGGCCGCACCACTGCCCAGTGCACACAGCCTTGAACACCGCCCTCACTGTGCTTCACTAGTTAGAGACCATCCCCCCGACCAGCGCCACGTGACCGCAGCCGTCCCAGACGCCGCCTCACCTGCTGCGAGGAGAGAGGGCAGTGCCACGTGCTGCACGACGTCCTCCAGGGAGAAACACTGTCGTGCTATCAGAATAGCAATGAAAGTAGCTAGTGAATCATGGAATGAAAGGTCACTCACCTTCAAGAAAAACATTGACACGTTTTAATACCTAACACCCTCCTCGGTAACAGCTAAGATTAATATCTAAGAGAATGCAGGCAACACCAAGCTCTCAGGTCCCCAAGTGAGTCTCCTCTAGGCCTATTACTACTTTACCACACAGAGGATGAGGCTTACCCACATCCCAGCGCTGTAAGGAGACACTGGGCTTTATCTTGAGTACGAATAATTGAAACAGAAAACAAGAAAGAAAAATCAAGAAATCCCTACAAGATGCAGCAGAAATAAAACTTCTCTGCAAAATTCACTAGGACATGTCATTTAAGGGCAACCATTAGTAATGTGCAAAGGAAATCCCAGAGGCTGCCCTCACTGAAAAACAGGCCTCGGCAATGTTTTGGGGTTCCTTTCAGGGATAACAAAGTAATGAGTCTTTAATATAATTAAATTTGTTTTAAAAACAACTCTAAAAATTTACAATTGACTCCTAAATTTTAAAAAGAGAGAAAAGGAGGAAAGAGGAAGAAAAGTTAATTCAAAAGACCTTGGCAGAAAATAATAATAATAAACCACCTATAATAGCCTTCATATTAAGTTGTAGTGTATGCCAGGGAGTGTGGTTAGCAATCTACAAAGATCACCTCATTTAACAACACAACACCATTAAGTTCATACTACTATTCATTCCAATGTTACAGCTGAGTGAACCAAGCAGAGGTAAAATGTAACAAGACAACCAAGAGGTTCAGGAACAATGTTAGAGACGAAAACGTGTGCCCTGCACTGCAAGCAGGAGCTGGACACGCTAAAATCCTACATAGTCACAGAATGAAGCAGGACTCTCCAATCCAGTCTTGCAATTTCAGAACTCGGAAGTTCGACTTCAACTGGGAGGTAGTTTTGAAAATGTATAAAATCGTTCTATATGTAAGATATATTAACATACAACAGATCATGCCAATAAGTGATAGGCAAAAATAGATAAAGAATCGAGATGGATTTTTAAGAAATCCACATATCATGCACGCATGATACTCAAGGAAATCTGACATCTAAAGGGCATCTCTTCATCACTTCCAGACACAATCACTAAGAAAGACTGGACGCCCAGTGAATCTGAGCCTGGGCATTCTCACACAACACACAGAACCAAGCCCCTCTGGTGTGCTGCTTCTGACGACAGAAGGGAAAAGTGGTTCGCATTTCAGCAAAGAGTTGAGTCAATTAGAAAAAATTACTCACTAAATATTTAATTGCATTGAGCTTTTAAGTGAAAAAGAACACTTACATCTACAGTGCAAAGAACATCATTGAAGCCCCACACGTGATTTGAAGAACAACAAAGAGCCTTCAGCACTCCCAGCCATTCTGAACTGAGAACAGTGCAGCAAGCTGTCAGCTCGGAGGAGAAATTGGCTATGTCATTAATCCTAGGAGAAAAGGGCACACACGGGAGAGAGTAACAAAACAGGTACTGCACACGGCACGCTTAACGAACGCGCTTCACTACCACCGAACAAGTCATTCATTTCTTATATTCAAGGATATGTAGAACCTGAAGCAGAAGATAAAAGTAAAGGGCCTCAAATGTTTTCTTTTGTTTAATGCTAGCGAGCAATAAACAATAACCACTACAGATATCAGTGACCACATCTTTAGTTCTGAACAAATCTGACCTATACAATGACCTTTTAAGAACATCAAAAAATTAAAAGAAACTATGTAATTTAGGTTGGCCTAAATAGTGTTTTTAAAATATAGGTAATTTTTATTGTATTTTTATTATATTAATTTTTGTCTTTCAGGTTAAGAAAATCATAGTACAGAGCAGAATAAAATAATATTAAAACAACAACATCATCCAAATGTCAGCCTAGGCAATTACTAAGGAAGTTAATTTCAAAGTAGCACCAAAGCAGCAACCTGTGGTTAGTCCTAAATTCCAGGGTAACACACTCACCTGCCTGCGTCCTGGTGGCCCATACACACATTCATGAGGGTGTTGCAGACGAAGCTATAGCGATTGGCCGCATTGTCGCTGAGAATCTTGCCCAGTACTGAGTAGTTGATGCTACGGGCTGAAGGATTCTCAATAAAGTCCATCATGAAGTCCGGATCCCATCGCAAGTTCGAATTGGCAGGCATCACATTATTATATATGGTTTGCTTAACTTTTGAACAGGCACTACTGAGGTTACAAGAAGAAGAGTTTAAAAAAACAAAACTAGAATAACTAGAAAGTTAGTTCATTTAAGGACAGATTAAATGGCAGCAACTGTAATGTATTCCTAGAAAAGAGTCACATCAGGAGTTCTTGATTCCAATTTCTTAATAAGCAGCACTGAGCACTGTGCCTAGAACATAGTAGTTGTTCAAAAAATAGTTGCTGAATGGGTTGAAGAACAAAACAAGAATAAGACATTTGGCTACTAATTATTTTCTAAACTTTTTTCTACATTTTACATGCTCCAAAAAGAAAAGAATTTACTAAGGCTTCCAACAACTGTCTCAGAACAGAAGTTGTGAAGTGTTATCACTTAAGAATAAAAGTGGGTTAGACTACACATCAGGATTGATTCCATTTTAGTCGTAATTATACATCCTGCAAAACTATCCCTCTAGGTTCAGGGTACCCAGTGGACGCCCATGTGCCAGGGCTGCTCTGGCCACTGGCGCAGCTGTGAAAAGGAGAGGCTCGTGCCTCCCTCCAGGAGCTCCCGTTCCAGTAGAGGGTATGGATAACACCAGATTCAATGAGAGTGAAGAAACTATCCTGTCCTTCCTAGAAGTGTATCATGTTCTGTTTCGTAGCAGAATTAACAGGTTTTTAAGAGGCTGGTCTATCATATTCAGAGCTACATCTGAATACCACATAGAATGTTAGTACAAAAGGAATTAGAAAGTATCTGATCCAGTCTGGCTCTGTGGATGAGGCTGAGGGGTAACCTGCTCGGATTCCATATCCACTCAGCCGCTCCTGCCTGTTGCTGTGGACAGTAGGTTCATAAGCAGCATTCACCTTTATTCAAGAGCTCTTTTATGCAGCAGAAAGTCTTTTTCTTTTAGATTAACTTTTTGTCAGCAAATTTATTTGTCATGAAGGTGACATATGGCTTTTACCCTTCTTCGTCTTATGCACCTACATAAATAGTAGCCAGGAATGATTCCCTTAAAAATGAGAAGGCATATAAACAAACACTCTTTATTCTAAACTGCTGCCATTTCCAACTGCTCTAGGAAAACAGACATTGTTCAATTCGTTGTTTTGCCTTCAAACCTCCTCCTTCAGAATCACCTTTGGGTTATTAAAAACAGACTCCTGGGCCTCTGTACGTTTACTGAGTCTGTATGTGTAAAAGGCTGTCCCAGGTACATCTAAGGGCTACTAGTGCCTGGGAAGCACTGGTCCGGCAGGGAGGGCAAAATCTACCCACTAAATGGCAGTACTTATAATCGACACTGTCTTTCTTTCCAGGCAATTTATGTAAAAAACTCCTCAGTGGTCACTGAAGGACACACATTTGAAATCTGGAGTCATGACCTACTCAAAATAATAGATACTATATTGTCCTTGGGGCTTTTAAAATCTCCATTTTCTGTCCTAATTATTCTTGCCGACTTTCTACTTAATTTGTCTTTCATTCCCACTTAGCAATGGTTCCTAATGTGTTTCATTTTCCCACTAAAAACGAAACAAAAATAAACTTTGCTCTGTGCTGGTTCCCTCCCTAACACCACACCCCTGGTTGCCTCCAGCTTCCCATTCACTGAGTGGTGGAGGGAACGACTACAGCAAAGGGACATGTTATCTCTATTTCAGTCAGCTTCCCACTTAATTCTAACAAGCTCCTCGTTCCTGTCTTTAGAAACCAAAATTATTCTGCTTTTCTTTCTTCATTTTCAAAAGATTCAGCCCCTCCTTTTCTGTCAGTACAGAGACTTCTCCGAGTTGGTTCTCTCCGACCTCCAGCGAAGATGGCATAATTTTTCTGAACTCTACGGCCCATAGTAGTCTCCTCACCCCTCATTTCTAGGACTCCTGCTTCATTTATGAGACTCTTTCCAGGTGAGCTTTAATAAAAAGTCTGTTTTAATAAAAAGTCAGCTGTCTACCTAGGTCATTCTCAAATTCTTAACACTCTCTGTGGCAGGCATATATGGAATTAAGAAAATAACTCAGGTATTTTCCTTCTGAAATTGCATGTATCAAAAAACCTGATAGAGTAATGAAAGCAACACACACCTGGAGGCCAAAATGACTTATGTTCAAATCTAAGTTTCATCATTTACTAACTTAGGATGAGGAACAATCATTTGTTGATAGGAAAAATCATTGCTACTTCCCGGGGTTGCTGGGAGGAGTAAAGGCCTTGAATAAAAATACCCAACGCCATGCTTGGTACAAGCAGCAGCTCTATCAGTGGGAGGTGTGAATGGTTTATGAGCAGCCCAAATACTCCTCTCACACAACTTTATAGATGGTGTTTCAGATTTGATTATTAAAACTGGTTTATGAGGATACTAACTGAAATCTCTGCTTATCTAGCTTTTGTTTGACCATGTTTCTTAATCCCAGACTGCAAATCATGTCAATTTCCAGGTGTCTCCAGACAGCTGCGTTTCTCTTTCGCTTCTTTAATCGAGGGACCTTCAGCCAGTGTCACACCTGTGATGTGCGGATCCCAAGCAGCCCCTCAGTTCTCGGTTGGTTTCCTAAATCTCCACATGCCCAGGGTCCATGATTGGAATGAGCTCACGTAACACACTGCACTGCCCTGCAGGAGCATAAGGGGTCAGAGAGGTGCCTGGGCTTTCTTGGGAAGTACACTATTAGAAACAGGACTGTGAGCCCGGCCAGTCGTGGCTCAGTGGTTGAGCATCGACCTAGGATCCAGGAGATCATGGTTCGATTCCCAGTCAGGGCACATGCCCGGGTTGCAGGCTCAATCCCCAGTGGGGGACATACAGGAGGCAGCCGATCAATGACTCTCATCATTGATGTTTCTATCTCTCTCTCCCTCCCTTCCTCTCTCTGAAATCAATAAAGATATAGTAAAAAACAAACCAACCAAAAAAATGGGGCTGTGAGTCATGTATGAGAAAGCTCTCAAAATCTGTAAACTGAAACTGAAAGCACCCTGTGAAAACAGCAGAATACAGGGTGTTAACTACTCTTATGTCATTTCTGTGGAAAGATGTTTCCTAGGACTCACTCGAACGTCCTTTAAGGATTGTTTTAAAATCTAACTCATCTCATGAAGACATACTTTCACATTTTCCCTGTTGATATCATCAGAAGCCTCATGATATTTCTATACATATCTTTTAACCGGCAGATATTTCTGAGTGCCTCCTAGGAGCCAGACACTCTTCGGGGTACTGGGGTTCAGCAGCAAAGAAAACAGGAAGTTTCTGCTTTCGTGAAGCTTACATTCTAGGAAGCAGAGAGATGATGAAAGATATTCGGTGTTCTGGGTTAGTGCTCAGGTTCAAAGAATGGCAGAGCCGGGAAGGAGATGCTATTTAAAACGGGGTGGTCGGGAGGGACGGCTGCGAGGGAACTGTGGACGTGAGCATGCCAGTAACTGCGGAGAACACAGGAAAAGGAACAGCAAGTGCAAACGCCCGAAGCTGGGTGCTCAGAGCGTCTGAAGGCCAGGCAGGAGCATGTAGGTAGAATGGGGGAGGGGAACGAGGCAGAAGAGAAAGTTCAATCCAGCAGATCCTAAAGGCTAGGCAAGGACTTTGGAGATTTTTATTCTGAATAGGTGAGAAGCCATTGGAAAACTTTATTATTCTTGTTTTAAAAGGCTGACTTTAGTAGATATGTTAATAATATGCTCAGGCCAGCGGGGAAACCGGAGGAAAGAACTCCGCAATGGTCTAACCTGGAGATGACCATGGTGGTCATGAGAGAGCAATGGAGAGTGGTCAGATTCTAGGTACCATACCCTGAAGGTAGAGCTCACAGGATTCAAACAAACAAACTGGGTGCCAGATACAAGGGCGCAAAGAAAGCTGTACCTGATCATGCTTTCCCTACCTCCTTCTAGATTCTAAATTTATTTTTCCAGCTATCACTGTCTCCTACAATTAACAGTCTAAGTTTCCTCAAAATAACATTAAATAAGTATGTATTTTCCAGAATCTGTGTACCTGTGGGGGTAGATGCAGAGAATGAAAGGGAGTCGGGTATGCTGTTTGAAAGGGGATGGCCAAGGAAACAGAGAAGGGAATAAAGTGAGAAAGGACATGTGCAGAACAGGGGGAAACAATGTTCCCAGTGAGGTAACAGCAAGTGCAAAATATGGAGTATTTTCTCTCAAGCCTATCTCAGAATTGCAATCACAGTTAAACATGCATTTGTAATAAGAGGCTATAGCTACAATGAAAGGTAACTCACTATGAATTCTGGCAGATATAATTATGATTAACTTTCATTATTAAAAAGAATGGCAACATTGGTTGAGTCACTAACAAATACAGGCATAATCCTGCTCCTATTCTTTTGATTTCCTTTTACCCACCTGAAGAGGTCTCCAAATTTACTTCTGAGGTGGCTGCATGACACGTAGAGGTCGTAGAGGTAGGCTAAGATGCATCTCTCGGGAGAAGAGCACTCTGAGGGGTTCACCACGTGCTTTACCACCCCGCACAGCCTGAGGAGAGAGGGGGGGGAGGGCGATGCATGTGTGGCTCACATCATCGCCCCTGTCTGAATCTTTCAGCATGAGGCTATATCCATTTATTACTGGTGTGGAAAAAAACTATCAGATTGTTGATACTAATCATTATAACAATAGTAAATAATTGAGAAAAATATCAGTTTATTATGATATTGAAACACTAGATTTTGTTTTAAAGAAAACCTCAAAAATGCCATTAACAACAAGAAACAATAGGAATTCCTCCACACAGAAAGTATATATGGATGAATCCATCAATTAAGCTCCTGGGACTAGAACATAGGAGGAGAGTTAAAGTAGAGACTCTCTTCAGTAAAAAATTCGCTTGAAATTCAGTGAATGTTCAAAGATCCCCAAATCTACTTCTTTGTTAAGGAGTAATTCTTAATCAGTAAATCTGGGGGATCCATTTTTAAAACCATGAACTGGTTCTCACATGAACCTGGTGAATTCACAACTTGAGGCAACAAACTAGAAACAAATTTGTTTTAGTTTATCTTATATAAGAACTAACCT